ACATTTAGTCTTATTATCATGGGGTACATTGCAGTAGAACATAAGGATTTGTTTAAAACATGTCAGATGGAGAAAATCCTTTTGGCTTGGGAGTTCAGAGTGTTATAATGGAGATATTCACTATTCTTATTTGAGGTACTTAATAACCAAGCAGGCCAGATCCAGAATTACAAAAGTTCCAGTGTTAATATACATATTATTTTATATCTGCATTACCTACTTTTTCCATTTAAGATTTTTCAGTCTCAGTGAAGTTAAGGCATTTGTCTGAACAAAGTTGTAGGATAAGTTCAAGACCAGATTATCACCAGTGAAAAAAGGCTTAGGTTGTGACACAGATCCTTCAAGAATCAAAAAACTCTGAACAGTAGTTCAAAGTTTGTTCAGAGAACAAATAGAAACTGATTTTAAAGCAGGAAAGGGCTCATGTACCAAGCCTGTGGTGCTTTCAGGGGCTGACTGCTAAGGGCAAAACAAGCCACTCTCATTGAAAAGGTTTGTGTAAAAATACCATGCAAAAGACTTTGGATTCCTGAGAGCATAAGGAGGAAAAAGTGATACCATATCCAGCTATGACCCAAGTCTATCAAATTTTATAATATAAATTGTCAAGTCTAACTGAGAATGTGAAAAGTGTCATGAGAGTGCTGCCAACATATTCAGTATTTTTTCAACTGTTTTTCAGGCAAAGGCTTTTAGCTCCACTCACACACTGCCTTGCCCACCCTGTGCCCCTCCTGTGTAAAGCTGCAGGGAAAAGTGGCACTCTGCACTTCCACCCCCACAGGAATCCACTGGAAAAAACTGAGACTCAATCCATTTGCAATGACTGTCATGATCCATGTGCAAAAACACAGATTCCAAAAATCAGATTAAAAATTAGGAGAATAAACCCCAATTTTAAGACATGCAGAAATATTACTTTGGATATTTCTAATTAATAGAAAAGTATAAACTAAAAAGGTTTTTAAGACAGTAAAGCCACTGAATGCTTTGTATTGACATAAATGGAATGTGAATAGCCACATTTAAAATCAGAGAGTAAAAGTCATTTTACCACATTTTCTGAGAACTTTTAAGGAAAAAATAACCAGGCTGATTATGAAGTTATTAAGACATCTATTCTCACCTGTCCAAAATAAACAAAGAACCTGTGCACCATAAGTGCAACAAAAATAAAACTATAACTTAAGGGTCTCAGACTTCTCTTTTGTTCTTAATTAGGGGCTCAAAGCTTGAACAAGACCAATATTGTGACTAATGTTAAAGAGCATAAACTGGAGAGGTAAAAAAGCAGCAGAGTGATCAATTGCATCTGCAGTACCCATGTGAATGGCTTCTTAACATGGATTCTACTCACTGTGCAGTGACACTGCACAATTCAACTGCACAATAAATGTCTGTCTGAAGCAGATCTGTGTAAACAACAACAGCAATAACAACAACACCACAAAGAGGAATAATAAAATTATGTGGTCCTATAATACTCAAACCTTTGAAATTCAAGGCAATCAGAAAATTAAATTAGTACAGCATCAGAAACTGAAGCAACAGTGATCAGGAACCAACCCTAGAGTTGCTGCTGCTCACAAGTGCTGCAGATAACCATGTCTGTAATGACATTGTGAAATACTAGGGCATGACTTTTCTGCTCTCATGCTTGTTAGACATACAGAGAGCTTAAATGCAATTAATTAATTAATTCAAAGTGCTGCAGAAAAATGTTTTGGGCTGCCAGAATAATCACAATCACAACAACTTCTAGAAATATGCTTTTTCTCATACAATAAAATAAACCCGTTCAATATCATAAAACACACAGTGAAATAAAGCTGAATTTATTTATCAGTGAAAATGCAATTTGGGGGATTTTGTTATTCTTGAATGTTTGATGCCACCACCATAATATCAGAGTAGCAAGGTTTCTGCAGTATTTAACTAGAACAGTATATGTAATGCAACATGCTGCCTACAATTCCACTTTACTCATTTGCTGCTGAAAGAGATTTTTTAAATATTTACAAGGTAATTAGTAAGAAATAATTCTGTGTATTGCATGCAAGAGAAAACATTGCTAGCTGTTAGTTTGCTGAGGAAGTGTGATTACACACATTTTTTAAATTCCTTGATGGTTTCTCACCCTTTTTGCTGCATTAGCAATATGTTGATGTGATGAAATATAGAGCAGTGAACTAAAAAACTCTGCCAAACACCAGCTTTGCGTCTGGCCAGAGTATTCTGTACACCTGCAGCCCTGAAAGCACTGGAAAGGTTTCTAATTTCATGTTTTGAGAAGAAAAATAAAATGCTCTCAAGGAGTTAGAAGACCTTGCATTTTGGCCAAGTGCACTTACATTTTTGGCACTATATCCTACAAGTGAAAAGAGACAACTGGGACGTTTTCTCTCAGTATCCAAGTTCAGGATGAATCAGTAACATAGCAGTGTCTTCTGCTCTTCCCAAAATCTCTTGAGAAGTTCTAAAAATTGACTTTCTAGCTAATTATTTCATGAAGGATTGCATCACTGTACAAATTTATCTAAAAATACCTTCTCAGAATTCTCCAAAGGAATCTTGGCCAGGGTGATTATGCACATTATGTAAGCACTCAGCCAAGCCCACATGGTAATTTTGTTTAATACTGTATTACTGAAAGGTTTTTTTTAAAGCCTACTACAAAGTTCTACAGTTCTCAAAATATAGCATTTGGTGTATGAATCAAAGCAATTCCAGTGGTTTTGTTTTGCTGGGAGTGTATTACTATGCTTCCCAATTATTTAAGCACTAAACAATAAACATTTAACTGACAGATTGCTGCTGCTAAATTGTATTTAAATCATTGCAATTAAATGTTTGTTTCTTGTGATAAAATGTGTTTGCAACACAGAGGTCAGAATTATTACAACTAATTTTACAGCTGAATACACTGTGATACAAATAATTTTTCTAGGTTATCTAGGTTTTGACATAAAAACAATTCTCTTCTTCCAGCTTAAAAATAACAGAACTTTTACTTAAACTCACACAGTCACAAGCCATAAAAAGATGGCTCAAATCATTCATATAAATAACATTTTAATCTTTAAAATATGATATGCCTATCTCTAGCTTTATTAAAATAAATCATAAATATTCCCATTTCCTGACAAAGGCAGAATATTTCACTTCTCTAAGATGCCTCTTTTTATTTTGCAGTGTGAAAAATTGTGACAAATTATTTTAAAATCAATGTCTTAATAGGGGTTTACAATGTATTTAACATTCACAAAGGCCAGAAAATGTGGATATATATGGGAGGAATACAGATTTTTTTATCATGGACCAGCATGTTATTTTGCCTCTCAATGCAAAAATTCCTCTTACAATAGAGAACAGGGATGAATTTAGGGCTTTATGTTAATGTTTAGCATTATTTAGTGATTCATCTTCTAATATTTATAAATATTTCTCCTTTGATGATCACATTAGGCTGAAGAAGTTGGGCTTTTCTGAGTTCTCTCTTTCAGCAGTGTAACAGCTGTGGAAATGGAGGGTGGGGCAAATAAGAGCAGAAGAAAACAAGCAATGCTGCAGCTGAACATTCACTGAGGCTCTTGAGAATCAGGAACAGCTCAAGAGGGAGCATCTCTCAAGGAAACAGAGGAACTGAATCACACAGGGGAATCTGCCCCTGCCCAGCACAGCCAGAGCAGCCTTTGTGCTGGATGCACATGAGAAACCTCTGGGGTACACAGTGGTTCTCCCCACAGGGATTAAAGAAGTATGAGTGAAGCCTACAAGCTCTATTATCAGATAATTCTTAAGTGTAATAAAGGGGTGACCTGGTTAAACCACATTCCTGTTCCTGGTGACTCTTTTTTTTGTGGTGTCTGAGATAACAGGGAGATTATTTTGGCATCAATTGAATCTAGTTAAATAGCTTTGCTGAAGATCTTTATCGCTATAAATAATGGAGGTATTTGAAGTATTTGGTTACAATTCTAACTGAAGTTCTCCAACACAATGCTTCTCTAGCAATCCTCTTCCTTCTCTCTGTCTGAAGAAACCCATCAATGTTTTGAACACTTTCCAGCAATGGCTTAAAGGTACAACACCAAAACAAAACAAGCACAACAACAAAACAGTTGCTCAGTTCTCTGATGAACACCCATGATATTTAAAGGTATCATGGAACATGGCAAAGGGGTGTATCCATTTACTCTTCAGTAACCTAAGATGAAGGTAAAAAAGGGAGATGTCTAAAAAAAATAAGCACCCTCTCTTTTCCAAAGAAAACCAAAACAAAAATCCCTAACATTATTTGGAACTCAACATCATCTGCTCTGGTGCAGCACAGTGGGATGAAGTGATAAAAAGCATGAAGCATATCTCCCTATTTATCATATAGATTTTGATGAAAAGTATCCTGGGCAGCTGATTGACCTGGTGACAATTGCATCATTGCCAGAATATATGTGATAATATCTGTTTCTAGAGGGTTTTTTAACTAAGTTGTTTTATTTAAACCTCAAATTACTTCTAGTGTTGAAGACACAGTGATTTTTACCCATTTGAGAATTCATTTCAAGGACAATCACAATTTCTAGATACCCTCTCAGAAAGCCTGAAGCCTTCTGAAAACACAATTATTTTACCACAGATAAGCAAATAAGTGAACAAGAGTAGATTAAAAAGAGTCCAGAGAATGGACAGATCTTGCTTTTTGCAAAGAGCATCTGCTGTCCTCTTTCACAGAATTAAGAAGGCTGGGAACTATATGAAGAGAGAAACAAAATGTATTGGCTGCATATAATGTGAGCCAAGTAAATGTGCAGCTAATTCTTAACAACTCCAGAGAAGCAATAAACACTCAAATGGAACACATCCTACCTTGTGCAACTGCTGACACAGGTCAGACCTGGCTTGAACACTTCCAAAAGGACATCAGCATAAAACAGTACAAATGGAAATAGGGCCAGTTTTCTGTTTCCATGAAAGTATGAAAAGGAAAGTCTCCCCACCTGCTGTTTTAACTGATGTACTAATCTGTCCTTCTCTCGTTTTAGGGCCATTACTTCATCTTGAGTCTTCTTTTTCTTTGAAGCAGACAGCTCAAGCAAGGCAATATTTGCATCTTTTTCACTAATTGCAGCAAGCAAAGCTTCCTGTCTGATAAAATAAATAAAATTAAAATTGTTAAATTCTCATTTAAAACAGATATATACTGCTGTACCACACTATGTGAGATGTTTCTTTCAATCACTAGGAGAATAATCACCTACCTTCTGAACACTTTAAATAGCAAACACTGTCAGGTCTCACCAAATCATGAAATAAAAAAATTAGCCAAAATTTTCTCTTTATACACTTTTCATTATTTGCTTCATCAACCATTTATCTCAGTCTATTTTACTACAATATGATATCTAATAGTTCTGTAAAATGTCTTGCTTTTAAAAATCTTTGATTTTTTTTTTGTAATTCACTTCCATGAATTCTAGAATACCTTACACAAATCTCTTTTGAATTATGCAGATCATAGAGATTGAATAAAAGAAAGCAAAGTGATAGAGATAAAACCAATTTTTATGTTATCCTGTTAACTTGGTCCTCTAGGGTTCTCACTGCAGGAATCTCTGGATGTCTTCCTCATATTACTTATAAGTTTTCCTATGGATTTATTATTATTTGCTGTGTCAACAGAAAAATACATTTCTAAAAGTAAAATTCTAGGGTTTTAATCTGATTGTTCATGATAAATCACTTCCTTTGTAATCCTGACCTCTCAATTTTAGAGAGCAAACAGAATCTTGCAGCACTCAAATATGGGATGACACAGACACTCACAGGGGCACATCACAAACAGTTTGTGAGGACGTAAGACAAAGGAAATTTTTTACAACATGCAGTCAAAAGCACAGATCTTGCAGTGTCTTCTACCCTAAAAAGCTCATGCTCTGGCAAGGCCATAATCTGTCCTTTAATTTCATAAATAAAAGAAATCTATTCACCTTCTGCAATGTACTCGGTGACAGTCTATGACTTATCAGCCAAGAAAGAGCACATAATACCTAATAGCTTTTAGAAAAGAATATGTTATGGCCTGTGCCTTTTCCCAGAACTATATAAGATCAATCATTAAAAAATAAACAGGGATAAATGAATCATAAATTAACCTTAGGCTCCAACTGCTAATAAATGTAAGAATACAGCTCGTGAACTTCATACAGTCAAGGTGAGCTAAAAGTTTGGAATTCTCACAGTCCTTTGCTTGCCAGCAAAAATGTCAAGAAAGTTACTTCACTTTTATTTCAAAGTTCCTAATGTATTAATATAAATATTTATAGGACAATATTTCTGATGGAGTCAAAGAAAAACAACCCATTTATTTTAGGTGAAGTTATGCGACATGGATCAATTTTAGATAAACAATTGCATTTTATTCATACACTTTAATAGTCTCATTTATTATTCTGTCTTGTTCATTCAAATCTCAGTTAAATGATGTTTAAAAGAAAATTCTGTAGGACTCCAACAGTCTTAATTTAAATTATAGTTATGAATTATTTTAAATAATCAATATGACACAAAAAATATATATCAGAATGCTGCATATTCATAATGCTAATTTGAAATGAAATATAGGTACATTGTTTTTCTACAAACCTCATAATAATGCATAAAAATTGTTGTGTAGTGATTTGTAGAAGGCTCTCAGTTTGTTTATGTGTTGTGCTCAAATACCTATTCCATAACATTTTCATTAAAATATTAGATTTTTAATACATCAAAATAGAAAGAAAAAGTGGTTTGCCACTCTATTCATTTCCTCTGAACTTGCAGAAAGCAAGCAATTTATCATTAAATCATGGAATGAGTTGGGAAGGACCTTAAAGCCCATCCAGTGCCACCCCTGCCATGGCAGGGACATCTTCCACTGTCACAGGGTGCCCCAAGCCCAAAGGCCAACCTGGCCTTGGACACAGCCAGGGATCCAAGGGCAGCCACAGACACTTCTCTGGGCACCCTGTGCCAGGGCCTCACCTGCCCCACAGATGTCAGGCATGATAACACAAGTTCCCTGGCAGAAATAAAGGTATCCTGTGATTTTAAAGCCAAAGAAAAGGAAACGGCATATTGCACATAGGCATGGAATACGTTCCTCCAAATTAAATAAGGTTCACTCTTCTGCATTTTTCTGAGAGCATGCTGTCATAAAATTACAGCGAAAAGTCAGTTAGAAGTGTAACAATGTTCCAGTTATAATATCTCAAGTTAAACATTAATACTACCATCACAAACCTACCTATTTTCATTTTGAATGTGTTAAAGAAACCTACATCACAGAATTTCCAAGGTTTCAGAACTCTTAAACTTGTGTTCTTAAGTTGTGTAGGTTAACCCCATGCCAGCCAACCCCAATATAATGTCTGCTCTCTAACAGCAAATTCCACAGTAAATACTTGTAACCCATGAGGTTTTTAATGATATATAGTTATTTAACACATATTACAGCTGTAAAAAGCCAAAAATTGAATAAAAGGATTAAAGGTTGAAAAGGACATGAAGCTATACTGAAATTTTACTTCTCCGAAAGTAAATCCGCAGTAAAAAGACAAACCTGACTGGTGAGGAAGAAGAGTCAGAACTACTGAATTATTTGGTATCATTTCAACATCTGATAATAGGATTCAGTCACATCCATATTTTTTATACTGCCAGCCAAAATATGATCTTGTGATCTTAACTGCTCAGCTGTGCAATATTCTCCACTCCACTTTAAAGTAACAGATGAGGTGAAACCTCTCATAGGAGAGGAGAGCCAGTCAACATGCTTTGAAAAATCTGCACTCTGGATTCTGCAGGCCCAAACCCACAAAATTTTGCAGACCCTAGCATGTATTTTCTCAGCTGATGGGGATTTTCCTATCTTGGGAAAATGCTTGGGAAAATATGTAACCAAACACTTGATTCCAGGACATAACGACTCATATCAAGCACTTCCAGGAAATGGTGGTTCAGAGTCATGTGAAATAGCTGCTGTCAAATGACACCACAAGTGGTCCACTGAGACACTCCAAGATTTGAATCAAACCCACAGCACATATATGTTTAAACTTCCCCCCGTAAAATTATTGCCAACATATTTTTTAAATCTTTGTAGTTAATTTGAGTGGAGCTGGGAGGAGACGAGTGCGCAACACCAGGGTGGGGATTTCTGGGGAAGTGCTTCCCCAGCCACATGGAATGAAGAACACATCAAATGCAAACTCACACTGCCAGCACTCTTGCAGCCACCGAAATCATTATTATTATACCCAAATGTGTGCCAGCCTCTGTTGAGAAGCTGCAAAGCCTCAGCTATCAGAGACAAGGTGTTTGAGCTCGGGCACGGTGCCACACAAAGTGCTGATGGCTCGCAGACTGGGGCTGGCTCACACAGCCTGCCCAGGGTGGGCACAGCACCTGTCTCCACTGACACATTCCTGGATGTGGCAGCAGATTATCCATGTTTATTATCATAGAAAATCTCAACAGCAATAGCCTCAAATATAAGTGGCATTTAACCAGGCATCTAGGTTAACAAGAGGTTGACACAGCTGGTCTATTCTACCAAATGATAGGTCAGTTGCTTTAATTCTTGTTAATTAACTACTTCTGTTCAGAGTGAAGACAGAGAAGCCCAAAGATTTTATTATTATTTTTAAGAATACAAAATAAAGATGCAGGTTGTGACAGAGCACCTGAGGAAAGCCATATCCTCCTTCTGCATGACCAGGATCCAGCCCCCACTAAGTCCCTGGAAGACAGAGGTGGAAAAAGATCTCGTCCATACTTGTGAGCCACTGGAAGTAAAGAGATCCAAGCATTTATGAAGCTGCCTCTCAGGACAGATCAGGATCTCTATGTTATCATATCCTATTGATTACATATTGCACACTAGTTTATCCACATCAGTGAAAGTTGTTATGCTAGCCTTTCATCATACTTCAAGTTTCCTATGGAAGAACAAAACCTCATGGACAGAAGCAATTTGTTTTAGCTATTCAGTAACCTTTCTAAAAAATTAACTTGACTGTTTTTGCAGCAAACATTTGAAATGAGATTATCTGGCCATTAGGAACAGGGTTAAAATGCCAGCAAAGTGGATGACAATAATGATTTTCTCACCTACAAACACAATGTAAACTAGTAGCAAGGTTTTTACCTAAATCTCTCAGATAAGTCATGCACTTCTACCTTGCTGCTAGAAATGAAACTCATCATGAGTTTTAGTGCTAAAATTTTTGAAAATCAGGATCTGATTTGGCACCAAGAGCAACATACAGTCTGATACACTCTCAGCTAACGTGCCTAAGAGTGTAAGCATAATTTATAATTCCTAATTATCTACTGTGTCAGGAAAAAAAATGACTATCCAAATACAGTTCTACAGAGATGTTATCACTATTTGCAGCCAAAATGTCTCCTTATTGTTTAATAAATTATAGCAATAAAATACATTTTAAAATAATTTATTGGAGCAGTGGATTAAATGACATTCTTTAACAGTAATATTTATAAAGAGTAATCCCTTTTGTTATTAGTAGTTTTTCCTCTCTTTTTTTGGCAAACTAATCTGTTATACAAATAACAGGGTAGTATTTTTAACACAAAAAAAAAAAAAAAAAAAACCAGTCTAGCTTTTCACAGTAAAAGTAAGTAAACCCTCAAATTAAAAAAGATATATTAAACCTAACAGCAAATGCTCCACATTGGTAATTATTCTGTCCATTTTTCTTTCACCTGCATAAATTAATTCCTAGGATTCCTAACTTATATCTTCCACTACAATATGCTGATTATTGCAAGGAGAGGAATGAAAACTTTTCCCTGGAAAAGCAAAAGTTATGAAATGAAATTTCTCCTCCCCGGGCAAATGCTGAGTGCAACAACCCACACACAGCAACCTCAGGCCAAGTCTCCTTAACACAGAGCCAGTGAATGCAACAGTCTCTCAATAAGCACACTCACAGCTGGGGGATCTGGGCTGACTGTCCAAGTGCTTCCACTAAGAGGTACCAAGGAAATCTGCACAAAAATCTGATTATATTTAACATCACTTCATATACAATACAAACAGAACATATGAAAGAAACACTACCACTCTGATGACCAGGAATTTACAC